ATCGATTATTGAGCTTCACCTGGGCCCGGAGAGAGCTGTGCCGAGTAACCGAATACGTAAGACACGGTCTCTGCTTCATGGACAAGCACTAGAGCAGACTATTTAAAAATTGGAAACCATGTTAGAGTTGTGGGAACCTGACCTCCTCAGTCTACAGATGGGACCAAGGCTCAACGGTGAAGGGACCTGCCCAAGGCCTCGGAGCCGGTCGGGGACTGAGGCAGGGGCTTCGGGGACTCCTTCCACTCCTTCCCCTGCCTGGAGAGCAGGAACTAAGAGGCGCATAATCAACTCTGCCTGCCAGGCTGTTCTTGCACATGTCCTGCCTCCTGGCCCTCCCCGTAAGACTCAGGGTCAGGCTCAGGCTCAGGCTGGAGGGGGTCTGCTGCCCTACGTCCTGAAGGAATTAATGGCACTAGCTCCCAAGGCCAGACCTCCTTCCCATCAGCTCCTGCTCTGTGGCACCTCGGGGGCGCCACTCTCACAGCTGGGGGCCAGCCCCCCCCGCCCCCCGCCCCCCAGCCTGGAAGCTCAGTGTAGTCGTGTTAAAGAGCAGGGGTCCAGGAGTCAGAGAGACCTGGTTTCAAGTCCTGCCTCCTCCACTTCTTACCTTTGCGACAGTGGACAAGTTATGTCCATTCGTGTCAACATGGACTTTATTGCCCCCCCTTCGCTGGGTGTTCCAGGCCCTGGAGGTTAGGACTAAGCAAGATAGACATGGCTTGGCTGTCATGGACCTCACATCCTTCCTCGGGGGTCAGACCATCAGTGCATCAAAAGCAAACGCAAGGAGAGAGTTTCCGGGAAGGGTTATGTATTTTGACAGAACAGGAATGAGGCAGGGGCTAGACACAGAGGTGGGGGACGAACTTGAAGAGGGGTGGCAATAGAGATGAGACCTGCACCAGGACCAGCTGCGGGAAGGGCAAGGAAAGAGTATTCCAGGCAGTGGGCTCAGCAGTGCAAAGGTCCTGGGGCAAGGGTGGGCTTGACCTGTTTGAGAGACAGAAAGATAGGGCTTCTTCATCTGGAAAAAATATGGCCAACAAAAATATCCATCTCCTGAGGGTGGTTTTGAAGACCAAATGAGATAAGTATAGAGAGTACTTGGTAGCATGCCTGACAATAGATATTAGCTATTTGCATACTATTGTTCAGAGGATCACTGCTAGAGGGCAGAATCCAGCCTGAGTACCGTCTCTGTGGAACACAGGCTATTTTTCCTGTTTTTAGAAACAGCACTTGTTGTTCTCTCCTTCTGGAATGCACGCCCACCCCTCCTCTCTCCCAGCCCTGCCTGGCAAAACCACTATGGATCCTGGAACTCTTGGCCGGAATCACAACGCTTCCTTCTCCACAGTCATGACCTTGGCCCAGCAGGCACATCCTGTATGAGACCCTGCAGTGCTTTCTTGGGAGCCGAACAGGAGATTCATACTGCTAATCAGAAGGTCCTGGAAGGCCTCTCTGCACGCCTCCCTTCCCCCAGCCACACCTGTCGGGCCCTTGTGGGTGCTGTGCACTCCACCTGGGCCACCTTCTGCCTGCTCACATCCTTCAAGTCTGACCTCAGACTTTACCTCCGCGACCCTCCCTCTCTGTACTGTATCTCTTAACCCCTGTTCTCTCCTTCAGATGGGTATCTCATGTTGTGATTGCAGATATATTTCATTATTGACTTCTAATTTCTGCCTTCCCACCAAAGATTTAAAGTTCCAGGGGCTGCATCTGTTTTGTTTCCGCACTAGGGCTTGGAACCTGCTCAATAAATGTTTGCGGACAGATGTTGCCGCCCTCTCCTGGTCTTCTTGCTACTCAGTCCCATTCTTGGCCTCCTTTGCTGGCTCATCCCCCTCCTACTTGGTCATTAGATGTTGTTGCTTCTCAGGGCTCAATCCAGGCCGTCCTCTTCTGTTAGCTCCCTCCAAAAGTGACGGTGCCCACGCCCACATGCGCACCGCCTCAGGTGGCCCATCCTGTATACCTCGAGCCCCAGGATCTCCACTGACTAGAGATCTGCATGCATCTCCAAGGCCCCCGACATCTCCTCCTGGACGTTTCAAGGCACCTCAAACTCAGCACATCCCATGCTGAGCCACTCTTCTTTCTCTGAACCTGAGTTGATATGGGGCTCCCTTCCTCAGGACAGAGCGGTCATCAGTGACAGAGATCTCAGAGCCGGTCTTGGGTTCCCCCTCCCCCTTCCTCCTTATATCCACCCACCACCGGCTACTGCTGATTTCCCCCCAGAGTATCACTCAACTCCACCAGTCTCTCCATCCCCCTGGCCTGCCATCCCTTCGACCTGTGCACTGAGTAGCTTCTGGACTATCTCCCTCCTTCTGTCCTTGCTCCCTTCGTGTGCTCTCCACAAGGTGGCCACAGTGTTATTTTAGAAAAGCAGACCTGACCTTGTCACTCTCTCCTACTTGCAACCCCTCAGTGTCTTCTCAGTGCTCGCTGAACAAAGCCCAGGCCCCCTGACCAGCTCTGCGCTCTCCTCCCTGCGAGAACACTGAGTGCTGGGTGGGACGTGAGCCCACTGTCGGGCAAAGGAAGGAAGCAGAGGAGGGAACACACAGCTTCAGGGCTTTGGCGGGGGACCGGGCACTCGCGCTGGGGTTCAGGGTCCGGGGCAGGGGCGGAGCTGACCCGTGGTGGAGCCGTGCTTTCAACAGCCTCTCCATAGAGCCAGGCTCGGCAGACAGTCTTTGTGTTTGTACAGCTAGGATGGTGGTGGTCTCCCCTTCCCCTGGCCCGGGGCAGGGACAACGGCCTGGGCCCTTTAGTGACTCAACTTCTCTGCTCAGCTTTAGCGGACGCTTCTCGTTCTAATGCCGCTGACGCCTGGAGGCCTCCCGCACGGGGAGACAGCTGCAGAGGAGGGTCTGCGTCTTCGGCTGGAGTTCCCGTGGGATTCCCCGGAGACCAAGGATTTGGTCCCTCCCCTGGTGAGCAGACCCTGGCCCCCTCTCAGCATCGGTGCCGGGGGGTGCTTGCCGGGTGAGGCAGGGCAGCTTGCTCTCTGCGCGGCTGCCAATCCTTCCAGTTCCCTCCCAGTACCAGCCACAGTCCTTACGATGCCAGGGCCTAGCTGACTTGGCGCTAGCTCTCTAGCCCTGACTCCATCACATCCGCCCTGGCCGCCTTGCTGCTCCTCAGACCCCGTGGGCACACCGGCCTCACACACTCTGCTGGACCCCCCCCCCATAGCCCCTGGCTCCCTCTCTCCCTTCCCCCAGGTGTTTGCTCCCTTCCTTCTCAGGGGCCCTTACCTGGCTTCCCAATCCGCAGTCACCCCACCCCCCACCCCCGCCGCATACACACACTTGTCATTCCCTCTCTTGACACTGTGCGTCCTCTGTAGCACTCAGCACCGCGTAACAGATGATTCTTTCCTACTTATTTAGCTTGTTTATTGTCACTCTGCCCAGACTGGAATGTGAGTTTCATGAAGGTAGGGATTTTGTCAGCTTTTTCATTTCTAGATCTCCAGCACCTAGAACAGGACCTGCCATGTAAATAGGTGTTATAGAGATGAATGAACTTTTCCTGTCCTGGCTTCATTGGGTTGTGGGCTGCATATCAAGCACACCTCTCCAAAGCCAGGGATCTGTAAGTCACCCCTTTGAAAGTCACCCCTTGCCCACCTGTTCCATACCCAAAGAACCATGGTGGTTTCCTCCCCCTCGTAGCTGGCCCTCAGGATACTCATTGCTGAATCCTCAGGACTGGATTACATTTCTGGGGCCTTTCTGGGATAAACCAAATGTCTGCACCCTGATGGCCATCATTATTCAACACCGATGCTCATTTATAATTATGATTATTATCTAACATGTAAGGATCCGTTACTGCTCCGTAATTAAAGCTGGAATGGCTGGCCTTCTGAGGACTGAGTTGACTTGGCCTGTGTGGGCCCATCTTCACAGTGGCTGCTCCCCGGGAATATGAGCATGTCAGCTTGGCCAAGCGGCAGAGCCATTTAACAATTTTCTCCCTTTCCGCTGGTTCTCACTTAAAGTGGTTAGAAGAGCAGGGGTGCTGGAAGAGGGTACTATGCCATCTGGAAGAATGTTCTAGTAGTTATTCTAGCGCAGGTCCTGTCTAGGTGAGTTGGCGTCGCAGAGCTAAGAGGTTGAAAATAAACAAGAGGGTTTGGTGGAGTTGGTACTGTCTGCAGTGGCTCAGAGCCTGGCCTTCCCGGAAGCCTCTTGGGGAGTCTCTACCCTCTGCACTGGAGCCCCCACCATGCCTTGTGCTAGCTCTCGTCGGTGCACCTTCCAGGCCTTCTCCATGCATGGCCCAGCACTGGTGCTCAGGGCCCCTCAGAACTTGCCTCGCTGGCCCGCAGGCTCCTGCCAGGCCCTGCACCAGCCCCCGCTTCTCACGGCTCCCTGGACACGTCTGACACGGATGTTTCCAGGACTTTGCCATAATGCCCCTCGCTGCAGGGCAGCAGAACCCCTCCGGAGAGGCCAGCCACAGCGGTGTTGTCATCCTGCGATGCCAGAACCATGTGATCTGAGTGCCCGCCTAAGGGGGGCCCGGATGCTACCCTGCTATTCAAATGGTCCTAGCTACTCTTCTAGCCGAGAACACCTAGGGGCCGGCGTCCATCAGCTGATTTTCAGCCAAACACAAGGATTTGCTGGGCAGAAGGAGGCAGTGGGAGGGCAGGGCAGGACCTGAGCCTCAAAAGAACTTGGGGCATCAGCACACAGCCGCTGGAGCGTCCCTCTCCAGGGCTGCCTGCTCTGGCCCCTTCCATCCCTCCATCTGCCTCCGAGCGAGCAGAAGAGCTGGAATCAGTTCTCAGGGAGGCCGCTCTCCAGGTAGATGTAAACCTTTGGCACACAGCGGCTTCCTGGAGAGAGTTAAACCAGTCCCACAGGCAAAGAGGTAAGACTTTCTCCCCACCGCATCCTGCTTGGGCCCATCCGGAAAGCAATAACTGAGACAAGGAACAAGGGAATTAACTAGAAAAGTTGCCAAAATACCCATTTTTCCTCTTTTTCCAGTTGCTCCCTTTTCTCCTTTTGGGCCCTGGGGACCAGGCTGTCCATCTGATCCATTGTGTCCTGGAAGCCCACCAACTCCTGGAGGTCCTGCGTCGAAACACGGGAAACAAGACCATCTTAAAAAATCGTCACTGAGCTTAACATGATCTGCTTTAGCCAGCGACACTGGACGGGCATGAATGCCTTTTCCAGATCTTCTCCTGCCTCTTCCCTTCCTTTTCCACCTTTGCCACCCACCCCCCATGCAGTGACAGATGGGGAATGGTAATGGCAGGTTCTCAAGTGGAAGGGGACAGGAGAGCTCGTGATTTGGGTCGAGAAAAGGAGGGGGACACACTCCGGATTCTTCCCCCTTTCCCGCCTCCATCCCTTCTGAGCAACCCTGGGGAGCTAGCCCTCCACATCCTCCCCCTGGAAGTAAGAAAATCCACAGACTCTTACCTGGTGGGCCAGGTGGGCCTACAACAGAAAAAGAAATTTAGATGATAAAGCATGCCTGGAAGGAAGCGAAGCCAGCACCACAACCCCCAAATCAAAGAGCATTTTCCCCCTCTTAACAAGTACTAACCATCTACTGGCCCTAAGCAACCACTCCATGCCTTTTATTTAGAACCCGGCACATTCACTCAAAAGAACCTTAAAAGCAATTCAACAATTTGCCAATCAAAACCACTTTTGCTTAGGTTTCAATGAACTAAGAATAATTTCTGAATGGGCTTCACCATAGATTCCTAAATCAGTCATCTCTCAAGCAATCAGCTTCATTAGATGAGACCTGATAAAAGCTCAGGAGGGCACTAGTGCAGCCAGGCCCAGGTAAGCATCGGGAAATGGGCGTGCTGTCATTGCAGGGCTGAGGTCTGGCTGTCGTGAGAAAGCAGTCCCAAGAGCTCTCATCCAGCCAGCGTGTCTCCTTCATGCCACCCAGAGCGATTGAGAGCAGAAGCTGGTTCTCAGGTCTCTATTCTGTTGCACGAAATAGCCTGAGAACAACTGAGGGTCCAGATCAGGTAACAAACACCTTGCTTAGTGTGTAATTACCTGAGGATCTAAGGGGTTCAGATGAACCATTTACACATAATCCAACAAAACAATTTTGCTTCCACAAATAGGAGAGTCTCATTGTCAATTATTTTATTTAAGCACTCAGACAAGCCAATGGGTTTATAATGTGAGCAGATGAAGTCCTTCTGTTTTTCCAGAACATATATGTTTACCCATGTTGGAGTAGAAAGGTCATTCTACAAATCCAAGTCTGTGACTTTTCAGAAGACCGCCATTTACTAAGCATTTACTGTGTGCACAAAAGTCTACCAGGCAGCAGAAATCTTGGTCCCTGTGTCTGTTGTGTTTATAATCTAGCTGGAAAAGGTAGACACTCTGAAACCACAATGAAACAAGGGAGGGAGTTACAGAGAAGCAGCCCCTCCAAGGGGTACTAGCACATGGCAGTCTGAGAAGGCTTCCAGAGAGGGTGAGGCTTGAGCTGTGGCGCTGAAGAAACAATGGGCTTGACATGGCCACAGGCATGAGGGCTGGACAGCTCAGGTCAGACACCAGCCAGGAGCAAAGGCACAGGGGAGGGAACTTGCATGATTCAGGGTGAAAGAAAGGGGGAAGATTGGCCAACCTGGCGTGTGTAGAGATGAGGCTGAGTCAGTACTTGGAGGGGTGGGTGTGGGGCGGCACCATTTGAACACCAAGAGGAGAGGTGTAGGTGGTGTCTGCAAGGCAGTGGGGAGCTACAGTAGGTTTCTAATGGGGGATGACACTGTGAAATCAGTGTGTTTTTGAGATCCTCTCTGTAGATGGAAGTTGAATACAACTAGGGAACAAGATGAGAGAGAAAAGAGAGGTGGGGTGGGGAGAAAACACCCAGAGAATCTTTGTAGTTAAAATGAGGGGAAAGGATGTGGACAAATCAGTTGGTAACTGTAGAGTCGTAGAGAAAGTTAGGAATTCAAGAGGTATTTTGGCAGAAGAATGAGCTCCATGTCTGATTGGGTAGGGGGCAAAAGAGGAGGACACTCAGATGACGGGGAACTGAGGATATGGATGGAAGGAGATATGACGACTCTTGGAAGAAGAAGTGTTTGAATATATACTTTCCATCCATGCAGTCCCACTTTGGGCAAAAATGATTTGCGGAAAATGGTACTACCATTTGCTGAAAAGTGTAGCCTGTGGTGACATGACTTTACCACCAGATGGCGTGTGCCTGTACACACACATAAGGAGGTCAGAAGAAATCAATCAATCATTCCTGACTACAGATGGAGCCAAATTCAGAGGTGCAGATTGGTAGGAAAAAGGTCACCAAGCAGGAATCGGCTGTCTATATAGGTCTCAAGAGTTCTCAGGACAGCCCAATAACCATTTCTATGCAGCAGGAGTATTGGAGAGAGGTCCTGGCTAGAGCTGTATACTTAGGACACTTTGGTCATGGCCAAGAGTGTCACTACGGTGAAATGTTTAGATTAGGGTTTCCTGACATTGACCTGAGGTTCACTGACACCTGTGGCTACAGCTCTTAGTCATTTGAGTCCATAGAATCACCTAGAACGCTTGTTAAAATGCAGATACCCAGACCCCAGCTGGAGATTCTAATTCAGTTTGTATTTTGAGTGAGGCCCAGGAACATGCATTTTCACCAAGCACCACAGGTGACTGGGGAGTGGATAGTCCTGGGTACCCCTGGCCAGATGTGAAACTTTTCTGGAAAAAGAATCGGTCACTGTCAACAGAGTCCCAAAGCGGTCCCTGACCCTAGAAAGGCCATTAGTCTGGAGGCAAGAGTAAAATGTTGAGCCAAATTGTGGGATGGAGAGAGAGGGGGACACACACCACATCTGGAGGGAGGCGGATGATAGAAGAGGCACCAGGAAAGAGAGAGTGAACCGAAGGTACAGGAAGGAATTCAGGAGGTCCTGAGCCCTGAAACTAATGGAGAAGAGAATTTCAAAAAAGAAAGAAGACAAACGCTTCCAAAGAGCTCAGAAGCAGAGTGCTATAGCGACGGTGAGCCTGTATTCCGACGCCCACTCGGGATGCCTACAGAGCTGCCCAAGGGCCCCTTACACCTGGAAAAAGCCCTAAATATGTGTCATTATACTAATGTCAAATGTCAGATAATATGTGCCAACTGGGCCTTGAGAAAACTGTTTTTCAGGATGTTTTCTCAGCTCTTGACTCTTCTCTTCTTGACTAACAGAACCCCTGGGGATACGTGTGGACAGCCAAGTTCATGTTAGCACCATATGTGGGGCTGGCCCGATGGGATAATGGAGCATGTAGTGGGGACTTGAAGCCTTGGTTCATATATGGTCCTGCCTCCCCCTTGCCTCCTTGTTTCCCCACTGCCTCCTGGCCTCTCCAGGACAAGTTTTCTGCTGCCTCCCGGGTTTCTGATGCGTCTGCCCCAGTCCCCGCCCAATCAGCGACTGCTGCCACCTTCCACACCAGTGGCGGCCTGGGTTGGACATGTGCCCTGCATGCCTTCATCACAGAGTGGGGTCTCCTGTGCTTGTGAGGGCCTGTACTTGTTCTGCGAGCATCCCACGACTTGAGGAGTATGACACTAAATAGTAAATAAAAAACCCCACCACAGCAGGTGGAGAATAAAACCATTAAAGAAAGAAGGAAGCCCTTTTCCTGCTTTTTGAACAAGGGACCCTGCATTTTCATTTTGCATGGGGCCCTGCAAATGCCCCAGCTGACTGCCCCAACCCACATTCCTAACCAGAATCGGTTAGAAGTGGGTGGGTGCTATAGGAGCTGAGTCGCTTAGAGTTTTTTTCTCCTTGAAATCTAAGACTGACCCACAGTGCCCCTAGTTATGTAAATTGGAGGTCTGTGGATGGCCATGCAAGGTAAAACAATGCCCGTCTGCAGGGAGAGAGCAGAGAGGAAAGGAGAGGCGGTGATTGGTGTTGACACAATGGAACCACAAGATGGCAGCACTGGGATCCCGGAGTCCCCAGAACCAACTCGGAGCGTCCGGACTTTATGGGGGAAAAAAGCCTTTGCTGTGTTATGCCACTGGGATTTTATGGTTTAATTATTACCAGAGCATAACCTACCTTGACAAACACATCCCTCTATCCTTACAATAACTGGTAACCTCTTGACCCTTTTTTTCCCCTCAAATAAGCTCTAGTGGATCTCTGCTACTAGCGAAGAGAAGGATTTCAATGTAGACAGGAAACACAGGCACACCAGTTATGAGGAAGGAATAATCCAGAAGTGTAACGCTCACTTCCCGTCTTTGAGTGGGGGCACTGGCCCCGCTGAGGGCTCCCAAGAGCCCGCCCACCTGGCTCCTCTCAACACGGCCACTCCAAATCACAGGGGAGGGTTTCACTAGTCTCCCCTTTCACCCTGGGATGGTGTGACAACGGCTGTCACCAGACCCAAGGCACCTGCTTAGCAAAGCAATGACCACGGGGGACGTGGCTACACATTTCCCGAAGTCTCATTGATAGAGGAACCCAAAGAAGCCCCCAAATAAAAAAACCCAAATCGAAACATGTCAGAAAGGGAGGTCTGGTTCTGCTGCTTTAGAAAGAGCTAGTAAAAGACCGCAGCTTCCTAAGCCAGATAAGGCCAGACCTGGCGCCTGTGAGGTCGAAAGTCCTGACTCTCTTCCTCTCCTGTTCCCAGCAGGGACTCGCCAGGGCTTGGGACTCACGCCAGCCACAGCTTTGGGGCCAGACGGGAGCTCTAGCCAAAGTGAGTGTGGCTCCCCTTTCCCTTGGGAGTCGGGAATACTTGGCTGTCCTTAAGGGAGGGCCTGAGAGGGCCCTAGCTCTCACACGTGGAGCTGGAGTCCACCAACTCTAAAACAACAGGGAGGCCAGTTGAGTGAGAGCATGAGCAGCTACAGGGGCTGTTTTGAGAACAGCCTGTCTGTCAGTTTACGTGTTGCCCTGGCCACAGCTCGGCGGCCTCGGGACCCACCCTCTGTGGCTGCAGTCCCAGGGCACCTAACTTGGAAAGGCGTCTTTCCTCACCTGTCCCCACTAAGTGGCAGCTTTGGTCCAATCCCATTTATTTGGTGCCTTTCTGCTTTGGACTAGGGCATGACAACCTTAAAGAATTAGAGTAGGGATGGCAAATAGGTTTTCTTTCAAGTTCCAGTTCTCCTCTGTTAGCACAGCTTTCTGGAACGCTGTAAAAGAATGACATGAGGCCATGCTCCGTGGTGGCTGTGGTCCATTCTCAGCGTCCGCCTGGGTACAGGATCGGGAGCAGTAACTAGTACCATCATGGGGTTGGAGTCCCTTGGCCGGAAGGAGAACAGGCACTGTGGCTTTGAAGCACCTCAGCTCTGATAAGCAGTTCAGTAATGTGATAGTTTAGAGATTTTCCGAAAAGGCCCACATGCAGAGGCCACTGGAAGCGAAGAGTTACCCAAGAACCTGCCTTCTTCAAGACCCCTGCTTTTCCAGAAGCTATGTTCCTGGGGTCCCAAGGAAATCTGGGCTTGGGGATAGGATGCATCCAGAAAAGCATGCTGTGTGTGCTCAAAAGCACAAACTGTGCACTAGCAAAAACTCTTAAGTACTCTAGCTCTGAATTGCCCTCACTATTTGCCGGAGAGGTTACAGGCTGCACACCTCTGTCCTTGTCCCCATAGCAACGACAGCTGCCTCCAGGGAAAAGGAACAGGGATGGGGTTTCGTGGTCACAGCTAGATCAGCCTCAAGTCACAGTGCCTGCTTTTTCAAAGATGAGTCCAGTGTAAAGCTAGATCTTGTTCTCAGGCCTCGGGCCCTAAGCCCAGGGTCTGCTCCGGCAGCCTCTTCTCGGGGCTCTGGATGGAGGCTCTCTGCCCTTCCCCCCTGCAGTTGCCAATTCAGTCTTGGGTCCTGTCCCCTTCCTGCCCCCTGTCCAGACAGCATGGTCTATCCCAAGGTACAACCTCACTAGGCCATGTGTACTTTTCACACCTAAGTTTTAATTGAAGAGCTTGCTGTGTTAAAAGGGGGCCCAGTTTCAAGCTGGCATGAAAGGAGAAGGTGCTGGCTTTTGAAAAGATTTCGAGGTGCCAAAGAATAACCTCCTCAACTCATTTCCAGCACAGATGCGATTCCCACCCCACACCCCCTCAATCTTCCCTAAGTGGTCTTCACAGCTCCATCTGCATTCACTGAACAGCCTGGCTTTCCTTCTATCACTTCTATAATAAATATCAAAAAGGAAGAGGCTTTTCCTGTGCCTCTCAACGGGGCTTTTGTGCCTGTAATTCCATCCATCTGAGCATTTCTCTAGCGCTCATTACTATCACACAGGGAAACTCTGAAAAGGACTTCCAAAGATGGAAGAAAGGTGCTTCAGACACAAGAGTTTCAGAATGAAGGACCAAGCTGTTCCAAAGATACTTAATTTTCTGTGAGGACCAAAATGTGACTTGAGTAATTCAATTAGCATTTCCCAAGAAGCCACAGGATTACAGCATTTCTCTCTAAAACTAAACTAAGCAAACAAGAGGCAGACTGTGGACTCGGGGTTCCTCAGGGAAGGATCTTTCTTACCAGCCCACCGCCCCGATTTAATCACTTCCATAAACCATAGGTCTAGTCGTTCAGCAAACTCCCACTGAGTTCCTAGTGCAGGGCAGGTAATGAGTGGTGGTGAGGAGAATGCTGACACACAGGACAAGGGTTCTCAGGGCTGGATGCACACTGCAGGGTTTCTTAACCTCCGCCAGTGGCGCCCTGTCAACGGGACCTCCCCAGGGCCTGAGGCCAGACACCGAGAAGGTTCAACAGAAGATTCATCTGGCTTCAAAATCTTGTGGTTATGCAGCATCAGCGTGTTTTTTTTTTAATCTCAAAACACAACATTCAAAACACAAAATTTCTACAATTGCTCATAAATCAGCCACTGTGAAGTACTTAAATTCTATAGAAAAATATGTACCTCAAGGTTTGATTTTATCGAGTTTCTTCATTCTAGTTCATTGATTCTAGGTTATGTAATTTTACTAATCTAGTTATCTAGGTTACTAATGTTTGTGTGGGTTTAGAATGTCAATAAAAAATACCACTAGTAAAAAAAAAAAAAATCTTGTGGTTGTGTTTTAAAGTTCATGAGAGCTGTGCATTTACTCCATATTAGACTTTTAATGCAAAATCATTTCCCCATTTCCTCAGAATGGGGGAGAGGCAGGAAATAGCTGTGTCTGAAATCAGGCTCCGTAGGCCCATCCTTGGGCCTCGCCAGAGCCTTCCTCGGTCTGGGGTAAAACAAATTGGGTGACCATTCTGGGGTCTGTGTTCTTCCTTGCCCAAAGCTTCTGAAGGCAGGAGGTAAGCACCTCCCCCCCCCAGGAAGGAAGAAGGCACCCCCTACCTCAGGCAGGAATCAGGCAGCCCCTTCTCAGGCAGGAATCAGGCACCACCACCCCCAGGCAGGAATCAGGCACCCCCCTTCCCAGGCAGGAGGCAGACACCCACCCCCGGGGAAGGAGGCAGGCACCCACCCCCAGGCAGGAGGCAGACACTCCCCCCTCAGGCAGGAATCAGGCACCACCCCCAGGCAGGAATCAGGCACTCCCCCACCCCAGACAGGAATCAGGCACCCTTCCCTCAGGCAGGACTCGGGCACCCCCCCTCAGACAGGAGGCAGGCACACCCCCTCAGGCAAGAGGCAGGACACCTTAGGTTCGGGTGCACATGGGTCTATCAACAGCACTCTCCTCCTCCCCTGCCCAACCCATTAGCCATTCTTTGTCCCTTGGCTTGATGTGCCTCCTTTTTGATTCCCTCTGGTCTATTTGTCCTTGATTTCCTGAGTGGAGGGGAGCCGCCTAGCACATGGTAGACACCACACACAGAACACTCTTCACAGAGAGTGTTTTCCTGACTAATTAGCAGTTTGCTTCTAGAACTTTCTGTTCATGCCGTATGTATAAGGAAATAATTACTTCTGGTAAGAGAATACCCCTTTCTTTCTTTTCTCTTTTAAAAATTAATGTGAGTAAGGAAAACATCTATGGCCCCCGTTCAAGGTACCACAAGTTTCTAATTATCCAAGACCTAGTTATTTTCCAGGGCTATATTTCTATGGCAATACCAAAAATATTATTTTTCATAATTATATTACAATTGATTTTCAGCTCATTAAAAACATCTGGTAAAAGTAAACCAATATGTGTTTTTATAACCCACAGTGTTCTTAGGTGTTTGTGCTGCCCTGGCCCTTTGGCAAGCACACGTGTGTGCAGTGTGAGCACCTCAGTGCCAGGCCGGCCTACCTGTCAGGCAGATGCCCTTGGTGCTGTTGCAGAGGTCCACCATCACTCGGATCTGCAGGGAGAGAGGGCGGTTAATAGCACAGAAGACAGTGGGCCCTGAACTTGACCTTTATCCAGACGAGAGCAGTTATAAAGATTCACAAAGTAACCTCAGGAGAACATGCAAAAGTCTGAGCAAAAGTTAACCTCAGCTGAAAGAGAACCTCTTAAAAGACCTAAAGATACATGATAACAGAAGTTCATCTATCAATATTGTCAACCAAATATCCTTGATTTCTATCCAACTGAGAAGACAGAGGATGGCGAAGGAATTGGTAAATCCAGTTTTCGAGGCTGTCATGAGCCAGCCCTCCAGCATCTGAAGGGCTCAATCTGCATGGGGGTTGAATAAAGAGGGTAGGCTTGGTGGCTGGGAGTAAGCACCTACTAGTTGGGCGAGCACAGGCAAGGTACTCAACCTCTGGACACTTTGGTTTCCTCTGAAAAGTGTAAACACTATAAGCACCTGTCTTGAGTTCTGTCCCTGGCACATGGATGCTGCCCCAGAGGGGAGTCATTCTCGTGCCTTGTGGATACTACCTACTCATCACTGGATGGCCGCCTGTGGTAGGTGATCGCTGCAGCATGGTATGAGCCCGGTATTCGGTTTCCCCGCACCCATTTTGCAGCCCCTTCCCCCCATCCACTCTCTATGCTGCTCCCAGAGAAGGTCACAAAGACCAAATCTGAGTGGGTCAGCCCTGATTCACGTACTCTTGTGATTCCTCGCTGCCTTAAAGATAGAACAAAAATCCTCCATCTCTGGACTCATCTCACACCACTCCCTTTTCCCTTTCTGTCTTCCAGCTATACTTTGCCTCAGTTTGCTCACCCACAAAATGGAGATAGGAACAGTGCTTACTTCTTTTTTTTTTAATAATTTTTTTTATTGTTAACCACCATACATTACATCATTAGTTTTTGATGCAGTGTTCCATGATTCATTGTTTGTGCATAACACCCAGTGCTCCACACAGAATGTGCCCTCTTTAATACCCATCACCAGGCTAACCCATCCCCCGACCCCCCTCCCCTCTAGAACCCTCAGTTTGTTTTTCAGAGTCCATCATCTCTAATGGTTTGTCTCCCCCTCTGACTTACTCCCCTTCATTCTTCCCCTCCTGCTCTCTTCTTCTTCTTTTTTTTCTTAACATATATTGCATTATTTGTTTCAGAAGTACAGATCCGTGATTCCTCAGTCTTGTACAATTCACAGTGCTCACCATAGCACATACCCTGCCCGATGTCTATCACCCAGCCACCCAATCCCTCCCACCCCCCACCACTCCAGCAACCCTCAGTTTGTTTCCTGAGATTAAGAATTCCTCATATCAGGAACAGTGCTTACTTCTTAGGATTGTTGTGAAGAGTAAGTGAAATCATTTTATGTGAAGTTCTTAGGACAATCTTGGAAGCACCCACAAAAGTATCTTCCATTTCGTGGAGGCAAAAGAGAGTGTAGACAGAAGCAGGGATTCTGAAGTCAGCCTGCCTATGTTCAAATCATGGCTTTGCCAGTCACAAGCAGTGTGATCGGAGGGCACTTACTTAACCTCTCTGTGCTTCTGTGTTCTTATCTGTAAATGGAGCTAATAGCACCTACCTTATACCATGGTTATGTGGATTAAATGAGCGAATACATGCAACACACTCAGAGCAGGACCCGGCACATAGTAAGCACATGCTATTTATCCTATTGTGTTAGATCCTTAAACATGCCAAGAATGACTTAGTTAATTTATCAATTTACCAACCAATTGTTTTCAACTTATAGATTCAGTAATTTTTAGGCCCCAATAATGTGACACTTCAAAATTTTGGAGAGAACTTATTAAGAAATGGATTTGAGACAGCTGGATAGACATCTCGGGGAAAAACAAAAAGTTGAATCCTTCCTTCACTCCTTACACTAAATAAGTCCATTAAGCAATATTGATAAAATAGTTAAAAGTGAAAAACAAACTTAGAAAAGCACTGGAAGAAAACCTGGGGAAAAATTTATAATGGCATTAGAGTAGGAAAGAATTTTCCATGGAAGGAACAACCCCCATACTATATAGGAAGAATGTATAAATTCGACTGTCTAATAATTTTAAATTTCGGCAAGAGGTGAAATACTATAAGCCAATAACAAATGAGAACCATAGACCTTGGAAAACAATTGCAAAGGGCTAGTATATAAAGAGCTGTTACAAAGCAATAAGGAATAAGAAACCAAAAGAAAAATGGACAGTGGGCCCAAACAGGAAGTTCAGAGAAAAAAAAAAAGTGCCTCATTTTCACTTACAGTTAAAGAAATACATTCAAATGATGAAATGCTATTTCTCACCTCTTAGATTTGTTAATAAAAAGGCTAACAGAGCACTTCTCAAGGGATTGGCCAGAAGGGCTGCACTCTATCGACCTGTTGATTAAGTATGAAGGCATACTATCCCTTTGGAGGGCATTTTGGCAATAACTACTAAAATTTAAGTGGGTCTACCGTTTGATCCATCTATTGCACTTTGGGATTTATTCTTCAGATATATTCATATATGCATGAGGAGATAGAAGTACAAAGATGGTCATTGCAGAAATGTGGGCAAGAGCAAAAACAACCTCAATATTTATCAGAGGGTCTTGTGAAATGTAGTGTAGCACACCCATAGAATGAAATACAGTGAAAAAGAATGCATTTAAATCTGTAAGAATGACATTGAAATATCCCCAAGATAAATGAAAAAAATGCAAAGTACCGAGCAGCATGTGTAATGTCCTCTCATTTATGTAAGAAAAGTGGTGTGCACACAAATGTTTCTATATGCTTCTCTCTTGCTGCTTTTAGGATTCTCTGCTTTTGGCTTTCCAGAATATGTATGGAAAGAAACCTAAAAAGCCTCCAGTGAGGGGAGAATGGAGGAGCAGGGTGGGAGGAGGCTGTACTAAACATGATACACTACCTTTTGTTTCACTGGAAATTTTCACTGATTACTCTTTCAGTTAAACTCTTTTTTAAAAGAACATGTTTTGATTTGAGGGGAAAGATTGTTTTGTCTTCTACCTAGGCTTCGTCTGTTTGCTAAGGGATCCAGAGGAAAACTCATACTGCGTCTACTTTGTCAAGTATATCAACAGGTATTTATTGATAGCTTTTGAAATTTACTGTGAAACATACATCTCACAAATATATCAAATGTGCACAATTTAAAGATGAGTCATAAAGCAAACATGTATATTCCGCCCCTCCTGGGGTAAAAAGCTGGAGGTGCTTCTTCCTGTAACACACCAGCCCCATCAACTCTGAGACAAAGTATACTGTGCAGTGTTCCTCTCCCTTTCATACAAGTCAGAACGCAGAGCTTAGAGAGGTGACATCATTTACTCAAGGTCACATCAGTTGCTCGGAGCAGAGCTGGACTCAACTCTAGTTCTCCTGATGCCAGGTCTGCTGTGCTTTCGATTATGGCTCTGATGATTGGCTCAACACAACCAGACAGAAGAAATTTCAACTCGTTATTTTTAGTCATTTTCATAAATGAATGTAATCAGCTGCACTATGGACAAGATTTATTATCTTAAAAAATGTATAATTGCCCATTGAGAGAACCATTAAAGACTTCACAATGCTTCATTTGTTGCCTGGGGGATCGCAGCAGAGGGAGTAGTTTGAAACAACAGAAGCATCAATAGGGAAAATTAGCCTTTCTCTTTCCTCCCCATCACCGGTCTGGAGTAGGCACAGTGTCTATAAAAGACGACAAAGAAAGAATCTTCATTTCCTGACCTTTGGGCTCCACTTAGATGCTAAATATCCATTCAGATATGTACGAGTAAATTGTGTTAATCTTGATGCAGAAATATTCCTCTAACAGACTTGGGCTATATAAGGTTGTACCAGGGGGAAACATAGGGTATGAAAAGTTGCAGCCATAAGAAAGTCAGAAACTGTCTTTTCTGATAGTGATTAAGAACTTGGATCAGATAAGAGAATTCAAAATTGGTTGTCACACAACCTAGGTTGCCAAATTACGGAATCACATTTGGCCTAGAGAGCTTTCTAAATCTTAATTTAGGACTTGAGAATGGTGAAGCTGGAAGAGGCCTTCTAGCTCATTGTCCTGGGGGTGTCAGGCCCGATCCGTCCAGGATGCGGCCCTGTCCCCTCCCAGAGTCTGGCTCCCACCACTTTCCCCTGTCACTCTGCTTCAGTCACACTGACTGTCCTCTCTGTCTTTCCTGTGCTTGGAGGCAGTGCTCACATCTTTGCTGAGACCTCAGCCCAAATGTCACCTCATCAGGAACACTTTCCCTGACTCCCCAACTGAAAATAGCCCTAGGGGCCACTCTCCATCACCTCACCTGGCTTTTTGTCTCTGTAACGCTCATCATTATCCGATATTATCTTACTTATGTCTTCATTTATTTATTATCTGCCCCTGCCTTGCAAAGAATGGAAGCATTTTGAGAGAATTTGTGCTTTGTTTTGTCTCTATCCTCTGTGTATTAAATAGTGCCTGCTTCCAGACCCAGAACTTCTCCACTGGAGAGATACAGTTCAAGGAAGACAGTACGTCAGTGGTCTCCAAGGGAGAGCTTACCTTGACAGAAGGTGACAATAAGTTGTTAACCTGGGTTTACGATGTGAGAATCCGTTGGTGTTGGGAAGAGCGTGGGTGAGATGCAGAAAAAGCTCCATAGCAGCGGTGGGAAGGCCCTCCCAACCCACAGACACTATTTGGAGGACACATTTTAGGGGAACCAATGGCTGTCACCCTCAGTGTAATATAAAGAATGGTACCTCTGAGCGCTCAGGCTTAGTGCACCCTTGGTCAACGTGTCACCGAGGCAGAATCATCTCCCCAGGAGAAACACCATGGCCTGTCGGGGTCATCTCTCCCCAGTAGGAAGATCAATACAGTAATGGACAGGGACATGCTGTATGGGGACTTGTTCTTAGCAGTGACAACATGTGGGTGATGGGAGAAAAAATAGCCAAAAATGGGAGGGAGGGCCTCGGGTTCCTCCCCATGATGG